CTCTTTCCAAAAGGATAGAGTACCTTTTTTCATACGAGAGGCAGTTATCACACAACTTCAAGAAAGGAAGGTGGAGAAGCACAAATTCTCAGACCTCCATCCTGAACTGCAGCAGGCCACGGAATTGGCATAACCGTTAAATCAAAGTGGAGAAAAATATCTCTGTTCAGCAGCCATGTGAGAGCGTTCTGCCTGCGGCAAAGGAAATGCACGGCAGAGCGTAAGAGTGCGTGATTCCTTCAAAGTCATCAAGTCCAATATGTTCTATTCTACCTTGGTCATTTTCTTCCAGGACTGAAGTTTCTCTCCCCCTCACCCCTCATTCAGGTTAAAAGAACGGATAGAGTCAACATATCCAGCCCCAGAGAGTCTCATATAAATATGTGTAAATACATATATGCACACACAAATGACAAAACAAGAAAATTTTTATCAAGTCTGTGTGTGGTTATCCCTACAGACATCACCTGCTCAGTACAGAAAATGCTTTTAGACAATTACAACAGAATTCTCAATAACAAAATCTAAGTGGTGTTATATAGAAGGAAATACCATAGCATTATCATGACTTAAAAAGACTTTGCCTTTTTTAAATGATTAATAGAAAAGTGACAGTTACATTTAATTTTCTGTCTTGATGGGGACCAGTATGGGCAGAGGTAGGAGGACCGTGAGGGGCAGAAACAGAAGACCCTAGTATTTTCAGTCTTTCAAAGTAATTTATTTACTTCAAGGATAAACTGAAACTTTCTTTGGCCACATAAGAGTTTTTAGATATGTAAGAAATTGTCTGCCCATTCTACAATGATTTATGTTGTGGACATGTGCAACAGCACCTGCAGCTGACAGCATAGCTGCACAACTCAGAGCAAAACAACAAAGTATGTAACAGAACAGCATAAAAAGAAAGATTTCCTTAGCTAAATTAGTCATCACTTTATAAAAAGCATCAATGGAGAAAGAATAGCACCATTTTTCATACAAAAATATCAATTATTTGAATTACTAAAGTGGGACCAAGTAAGAAGTCTCTCAAATTAATCACAATGCATGAAATATTTTGTAATTGTAGCTACTTTAAACTTGCTTCTCTTCTAGGGAAAATACTTGTTTGTGCCTTACTGAAAGGGTAATCGGAAACACACTGATAGTCTCAGCACCTTTAAGAATATATACCTTTCTTAAATTAAGATGTGGTTTCCATCTCACTTTTAAGAAAAATCTACTTCACCAAAAGTACCACTCATATTACTGCCACCCTATGCGTGATTTCTTAATGCTAGTCCTAGAGGCTTTAGGAGAATGTCTTTTCAATGTACAGTATCATATACTAAGGATTTCATAAATATAAGCAGCAGGGCAGACAGCACATTTTTTGGCTATGTGATACTTTGATATTATGACAGCAGTCATGTCAGAAGAACTTAAAACACTCTTAGAATATGCTCTAAGCTGCAAATTCATTCCTCTTTTTAACCTCATCCAGAAGTAAGGCTGTTTAACTCTAGTTAAAATGCTTAGCACTAACAGACAAATTAAACACTCTTAAATTAGTGTCGAATAACTTCTATTCATGACTTTATCATTCCTTAAATAGGTTATTGTTACAACTCCAACTTCTCCAACAGCAGAAATTCTCGAGGTTGTATTCCATAAGAAAGAATTTACTGAACAGTATCCGTTATGTTAAGGAGGGAAGGAAACAGGAATGAAAGAGAAGGAGATGCCTCCCCATCCACATGTAATGCAGTCATCAAAAGATGTGGTTACAATGCCACCATACTTATCTTAGAAGAGGAATTTACAATCCTGTCCTTCCAAAGAAACAAGTATGAAAAAGCAGAAGCCCTTTAAGTACTCCTATTGCCTAATCTTGTAGTAGGCAGGTACTTGTTGGGGAAACGGGGTGTACAAGCTGACTACTTCGGTAAACACCTCTGGAAC